CCCTCCTCCGGGCAGCCGCCACCTGCATTAAAGCATGAAGCGTGCCGGGGGGCAGCCAAAACCCGGCCTGCAAGTGGGGGTGAAGAACTGCTGGGGTTTTTAAGCTTGCTGAAGGGTCAGGGATTGTCTCCGCTCGTGTCCGAGTCCCACCAGCCGGCACGTTCCCGACCGCCAGCCCAGGGACACCACAAAACGCCTGTGGTTTATTCTGGAAGTCAGCACTGATCGTCAATTAACTGGAGGTTATAAAAAAGGAGGTTTAATTGAAGGAACCTGGATGAGCAAGAGGAAGATGTACTGCAACAGCAGAGAACCAAGCAGCCGGGCAGTTCACCCTATGAAGGGTGTTTGAGGGGATACACCATGCCTTTATTTCCCTGCCCAGGAGGAAAGGAAGCTCCCATTGACCAGAAACAAAATGATTTCTCCCCATTCTGCTAAAAGTAGGAGCAAAAAAACAACCCAAGGCATAAAAAAAACACCCTAAAACCACAGCTCAGTTTGGGGAGCTTCTGGAAAGCAGAGCTGAAGGCAGCTGTCTCCAAGAGGAGAGGACAGAAGATGTCACCCCATGCTCCCTACGGCGCAGGGCAGCTATGTGCCACAGATGGGAAGGAGGCAGAGAGAGCTAGAGAAGTGCTCTCCAGGCTCACTGCGATGCCTCTTCCCCTTCCAGGCTGCGCTGACCCCAGGCTCGGCCAAAACTCCCCTTCCAGCTCGGCACATCAAACTACAGACCAATGCAAACAGCAAGGAGCAGCCAGGGCAACCCACCAAGATGCCTCACACTCGCTTCTCCCGTCCCACTCCGCAACATTAAAACGGACCACTCTTGTTTTAAATAGATTTAAAGATGCCAGCGAGCCAAGAGAAGCACACAGGGCAGGAACAACCTGTTTCTTACTCTGGGACAGGGGTGCTTTTTCCTCCCTTTGAGCTCTGGCTTCTAACCTGCCTAATTAACTGAACCATCAGGTGCAGGAACGTGCCAAACCCAGGCAACAGCAGAGAAAGTCATATTTGCACTCCTGCCAGGGTTTGTTTTTCTTTTTTTCTCCTCTGCAAACACCTTTCACACTGCATACAGCTCTGTGCCATCTTCCCATCATCAGACATCTCCTTCCACGCAGCCCTAATGTTATGACGCACAACCTCTCCCTTCCCCGGCTGCATTAACGTAAATTTATTTAGTTTTACAGTCACAGCTGGGCAGCAGCCACAGGGCAACACCTAATTTTAACCCACCCCCAACCAGGCCCGACCGCAGCTTCACCTCGGACATCTGGGGCCCTCGATATTGAAGTTTAAAAAAAAAAAATCATAAAAGGATAAAGCTTGCAAGAGCCCAAAAAAAAACCCCTCCCACCACCCCTAAACCAGCCCTCCCATCTTTCCTGCATCTACCACCCCGCGTGCTCCTGCTGCTTCAGCATTACACTCATTTATTTGGGTATAAATGCAAAGTGTTTTCTTTCACTGGGCAAGCCCCGCAGGCAGGCGGAGCGTGGAACGCCAGGAGATGAACCAACCTTCCCCAGGCAGCTCAGGCAAGTTTCTCCAGCTCCCAGCCGCCCGAAACCAGACGCATTTTGGGCTCGGGAAGGCAGGGATATGTATCACTTCCTCCGTGACTGAACACTTTCCTTCCACGCTCTCCCAATTCTCCACCCTGCGATGGAGAGATGGAGCCGGGCTGTCTCCCAACGCGCGCGTTTTTAGGTGTTTTTAATAAGCTTCGGCCTGCAGCGCAGGGATGAGCCGTGCCCAGCGAGTAAAGACTCCTCAACAGACTGATAGCAGCCCTTGAATTACACCAGCACTGCTTTGGTGCCGTGGAACACAATGTCCCTCAGCAGCCAGGCAGGAGGAGGCTGCTTTTTGCTGGAAACAAAACACTCTCCTCGCTAACCAGGCACGAGCATCGCCAGGAGCTGGATGTTACTGGGGAATGTGTTGCCTGAGCCACCTGGCTTTCGCAATCCAGCCTTTGGCAGCAGGAAAAATAAAACCTTGCCCTTCCTACGAAAGCAGCCCTTGCTCTCCCTGCAAGGGAAAGTCCCAGAGCTGGGGCTTCCTCCACCAGCATCTCACACTTCTAGGTGTAAGCTGCCTCTTAAGCCTAGGCAGCACCCAGCCTTAAAATAAGCTCCACACGCCTGCCTTTGCTGCTAGCGGGTCAGCTACGGCCGCGGGGCACGCTCTGACACAGCTCCTCCTCGCAAACTCGCTCAGAAACGTCCTTCTCCTTAGCCAGGTAGTTCGAGGTTGCCCTCCAGACAAACTCTGACCATTACTAAGCTGGTTGGAAAACGCTATTTCCCACTTTAGCCTTCCACTGGCGGCCAGTAAAAGCGATGAGCCAAGCAAGACTCTTTCTGACTGGCACCATCTTCACGTGTCCCCACACCAGTGTGTGCTCCCAGCCCTAAAAATAAAAATATCTCATCTTTAAGCCGCAGCAGAGTGAAATTCCTCTTCCCAGGGCAGCAGGGAGTCATTAGCTCAGGTAATGTGCTTCTTTTGGCCTCCCTTTCCCTGCCTTCGCCACGCAAACAAAGCGACCGGCCCAGCCTCGCAGGCTCTTTTACCACCAAGACAAAACAAGCTTTCATCGCGCAGGGCCTGTGTTAGCTTGACTCCGCGGAGGGAACGGCACCCGACTCCCTGAAACAAAGAGGCAGGGAAAGGCTGAAGACAGAAAAAAAAACCCCACTTTTCAGC